AGAAGCAGGCTTCCCGCGGAGCAGGGAGCCCGATGCGGGGCTCGATCCCAGGACTCTGGGATCATGACCTGAGCCGAAGGCAGACGCTTAACGACTGAGCCACCCAGGCACCCCTCCAGCTGCCTTCTTGCTCCATCGGAAGAAGAGGAGGTGGGGCCAAGATTCAGGCTAGCACAGAACAATATTAACATAAGAGTTGGAGCCTCATTCATTCATCATTCAATCACATATTCAGTAACGATTTAATATAAGTTCTGTGTAAGAAATGGTAGAAACTGATTGCAGGATCCAGTTTAAATTGGGCAGCTGGGCTTCTTTGAGGAGGTGACATTTAATGCAAGACCTGAGCGACAAGACACCTGCTGTGTCAAGCTGCCATGAGAAGCAGAGAGAATAGTAGGTGCAAAGGCCCTGTGGATGGAGCAAAGGGGCATGTGGCTAGAGCATAACTGGTAGAGAAGAGACCAATGGGATGAAGTCTGTGAGCTGGGCAGGGGTGCATCATGGAGGATCTTGTGACTGTGGTAAGGAAGTGGCTTTTGTTTTCAGTTTGATAAGGAGCCCCTGAAAGGATTTTAGGAAGAAAGACATGATCTGGTTTGTGTCTTTAGGAGCCCTGGCTGTGATGGGAAGGGTGGCTGGTAGGGAGCAGGATGGACACAGGTGAATAGTCCGTTCCAGTGGGATGACAGGCACCCTCAGAGAGAGGATGAGTGCTCAGCCGCTCTGTGGTGGGGAATGTAGGTCAGGCAGCCCAGCCTCCTCAGCCAAGCCGCCGGCGCAGCCCCCTCGCCTGTCAGAGAAAAAAGCCGACTCTGAGATGTGTGGGCTCAACTGAGAGATCAGTGCTGGCAGGGGAGGCAGAGATAACAGTCACCCAGGTGCAGGGATCTGGGCCACTGCCTGGGGGTCCCTTTGTCCCCCTTCCCAGGGTGCCTCTCCTACCACCCCTCTGCCCCTTCAGGAATCTCCCTGGCAGGCCAGCCCAGGGGCAGGCCTTGATGTGTGCCTGGAGCGGGCAGCTGTATTTTAAGATCAGGGCTCAGACCTCTAAATAAACCATAAACACAGCCAGCTTCCCTGGTACAGAAGGAGGGAGACGGCTCCATTTCTCTTCGGCGCAGTGGCTGGGAAATAAACAGGCAGCTCTGCCTGTCACATACACTTAACCCTCTGCAAAGGCATCTGTCAGACACACAGAGCTCCAGCCTCAGCCTTTCCAAGAAATAACTGAGATGCCCCAAGCTTGGGCTTCTCTCTGCAGCCTTTAAGTTCCTTTTCCCTTCAAGAAAAGGTGGGTGTGGGGGCCCTTGACCCCAGGCAAAGCTAACGAAGGGCAGGTGTGAACACTAGGCTGCCGAGTAGCTGGGGGCATGTTGGCATAGCTCTGTGGGCTGTGGAAGTGGACAAGAGAGTGGTGGAGAGGGAGGAAGGGAAGGGCAATGGAAAGGAGGAAGGGGAGCAGGCGGGAGTGGGGTGCAGAACCGAGATGGGTGAAAGCCCAATGGGCCTGGGCAGAGCACAGGTAAGGTGGTCATGGGGGTGGGAGAAACAAAGAGAAACAGAAGGCAGAGGGGGCTCTCTCTTCATGGGCCCGTGGAGCGAAATCTCTCACGACCATAAAGGAAGAAGGAATGAGCAAGAACAAAAACAGACAGGAACAGAAGGAGGCAGGCAGATAAATAAAGCAGGGAAGGGAGGAGAACCCCAGAGTTACCAAACCCAAGCATTTCCCCAGGGAGGGGGGACTTCCTAATTCGGCAAGAGAAGGTGATTTATAACTGAGCTAAACCAGGGAGAGTCCATAGCGAGGCCGAGGGAATGGGAGAGGCTGGGAATGGTGGCCATGCAGCAGAAGCCACACAGACATGTGGTGGCGAAGCAGAAGGGGGGGTGAGCTTTGGGGTGGTCAGAAGCCCGGCAGCACCCAGTGAGGGTGGAAGCGAAGGGTCAGAGCGAGTCACAGGGCACAGAGAGCCAGCCTCTTGGGTGTTGCTGTGATGGACACCTGCAGCAGGGAGATCTCATAGCCACCGCCGCCCCCAAGGTGTGGGAGGGGGTGAAAAACAATGAAAAGGCAGCAACACAGCGATCACGCGTGTACTTACACACACACACCCTCAGCAAGGGCAGGCACACTCTCAGCAGCACTCCCATGGGGGTGAAGGAGACCCAGGGGTCTCTACGCTGTAAGCCAGCCAGTGTGGAGGGAGCCACAGACTTCAAATGATAGATCCAACAGCCCTAGATAGGGGATGAGGTGTGCACACTCCAAATGCAGACTTTGATAGAAACAGAGATGGAGACAAAGACAACAAATACCAGATTCTCTCTCTCCCCCACCCCCTCTCTGTCATACACACACACACACAAACACCTCTCTAAAAGCATCAGACACAAGAGAAAGGAAGCTCATGTGACCCTCACCACCCTATTCTCCCCTCCCACATGTGCCTGCCTCCCGGGAATCCCCTGCCCTTGCAGATCCTGCAGGGACAAGGCTGTGGAGCCCCCTCAGCCCCCCACACCTGCACACACCCCCACATGCATATCTGGAGGCCAGCGAGGCTGGCACAGGGACAGTCTCCTGTAAGTGAAGCTGGGCTTGGATTCAGGAGTCCCCACCTAAAGCCAGATCAAGGGGCTTCCCCAGGCCATCCAGGGAGCCCCAAAGCACTGGCGTTTCCCAGGGCACCTGTCTAGATGGGACAGCAAGGCCAGGCCCACAAACAGAGAGGATGTGCTTTCCACTGTGGCTGGGCTGCCAGTCCTGCCAGTCCAGCGCCCACCACAAGGGCTTTCCCCAGCACTTCTGACCAAGACCTGTAGCCCACTACCTCCCTGCTAACTCACATGGTGCTCCAGTATTTGCACATGGGGTCTATGAAAAGGGCTGAGAGACTAAGGGGAGTGGGCTCCCCAGAGACTATGGGTCCACTTCTCAACTCAGGCCCAACAGGCAGTGACTTAAGGAACAATCTTTGAAGACCAAGAGCTCAGATTTAGGCCACAAGTCTCCTGGGGAATGGGGACACAGATACTGAGCACGCTGACACTGGACACACATCTACGCTGGACCCACGCCCGCACGGTCCCCACTGTGTCCACAGGCACACAGCGCTCATTTGATCACACACAGACCCCATCACAGTCCCACTGAATACTACACTGCATACAGTTCACTGTACCCAGTCACCCGTTGTGACCGGCAACACTGACATGCCCCAGATTCTCTGGGACTGTACACATCTTCTCACCCTTCAGATGTTCCATTGTTATCAACACTGCACATACAGACACTGAAAAGTCCTACTGTCCTCAGACCACACCCCCCCCCCCCCCCACACACACACAGCTCACTACCATCCTCTAAAGCCTGCACACCACACCGGCCTGGGCACTACACACAGGGCACCCATACAGAATTCCGCAAAAGAACTCCTTTGATTCCCTCCCAGGAGGCGGGGCCTGCGATCCCGCCCCTGGCAAGCTAAGATGAGCTGACCTCAGGCTTCCCTGCGCCTTTTCTTCCCTCCAGCTGCCTTTCCCCAACGCCCACCCCCAGCTTCAGGAAACTTTTCATCAGGTCCCTAAAAGGGGAAACCCGGGGTTCCTCGAGCCCTGCCCTTCCCCCAGACTCACGCAAGCCGCCCCTCCTTCCCCAGTTGGGCTCTCGCCCGGCACCCAGTGGGAAAAGGTCACCGTAGGCAGTCCCCTGCCTGCACCCTGGGAGGAGGGAGCGTGGCAGTAACAGCTGTCGCTGAGGGATGGGAAAGGTGCCGGCCCTGTATCGAGCCGGGGGCGCAAAAGGGTCGCGGTGACGCGCCGGAGGAGAGCCGAGGAGCCGAGGCGGCGGCAGCTGCATCTCCGGAGTCTGGGGCGGCGGCCGCGCCCGGTGCTGGGGCGCGTGGAGCTGTCCGTTCAGCACCACCGCGCTGCGCCCCAGCGCAGGGCCAAGCCGAGGCGCACCGGCTCCGCTCCTGCTCCGGCTCCCGCGGGCGCCTGCGGCGCGAGCTGTTGTCTCTCTCGGGGGCTGAGGGCATGCGGATCGAGAGAGGGGGGCTCTGCAAGCGGCGGGGCCACGCAGCCACCTGTGAGCCTCCCGCAACTGCGGGAGGCGGCGGCATCTCCGGCCCGAGACAGGAGGAGACGCTTGGCGGACCCCGCCCGCCGGCCCGCGGGGCGCACACACAGGCGCACACACACTCGCACCCGCGCGCACACGCACAGCCAGCCGGCAGCGGCGACCGCAGCGATGCTAACAAGCAGGTCGGGGAAGTTTCCCGCCGGCCTCGGCCGCGGGCCCCCGTGCTTGCAGGTAAGCGCTTCCAGAACGCGCAGGGCCAGCCCTGGCAGCTCCGCTGGGTAAGGCGCGGCGCACGCGGCTCCGGGGCACCGCGCCAGGCGGGCGGGGAGGCCCGGGGCGGGGGCGAGGGGGCTCCAGTCTTGAGGGCTGGACGCAAGGGACGCCAGGCTGGCCCCCTACCCTGAGCCCGGGTTTACAGACACGAGCGGTGAATTTCCCCGCCCCCCTCCCGAAGCTGCGCGCCCCCCACCTCAGCCCTGCCCGTGCGCGTCCCAGGTACAGTCCCGCCTGTCTGCGGCGAGCGGGCGGGGACGTCTCCTCCGCCCGCCTACGGGCAAGGTCAGCTTTCAGCCCCCCTGGGCTCTCAGAGGCGCGGGGGCCCGACCCCCGCAAGCGTAAAGCGATCGACAGGACCCCCGGGGTGGGGGTGGACGAGCGGCCATGCTACCGAAAATAAACCCTCTCCTCCCAAACCTTTCCTTGGGAAGGGGCCAAACCCCATGGAACCTCCCCCCCCATCCCAGTGCCCTCAGCCCCCCAGAGACCCGCCTGGAGGGACTGGGCTCGCCAGAGAAGGGTGGGGAGACAAAAGAGGGGCGCCCGGGCTCCGAGCGCCCGGCGCTCACAAGACGTGGTTTCCTCCGCCTGCAGGTGTAGCGCCCCCGCGCGGCACGGGCGGCCGGGCGTCTCCAGCATGACCCGCCAGAGCCTGTGGGACGTGTCCGAGGCCAACGTCGAAGACGGAGAGATCCGCATCAACGTAGGAGGCTTCAAGAGGCGGCTGCGCTCGCACACCCTGCTGCGCTTCCCTGAGACGCGCCTGGGCCGCCTGCTACTCTGCCACTCGCGCGAGGCCATTCTGGAGCTCTGCGATGACTACGACGATGTCCAGCGTGAGTTCTACTTTGACCGCAACCCCGAGCTCTTCCCCTACGTGCTGCATTTCTACCACACCGGCAAGCTTCACGTCATGGCGGAGCTGTGCGTCTTCTCCTTCAGCCAGGAGATCGAGTACTGGGGCATAAACGAGTTCTTCATCGACTCCTGCTGTAGCTACAGCTATCATGGCCGCAAAGTGGAGCCCGAGCAGGAGAAGTGGGACGAGCAGAGCGACCAGGAGAGCACCACGTCCTCCTTCGACGAGATCCTGGCGTTCTACAACGACGCCTCCAAGTTCGATGGGCAGCCGTTGGGCAACTTCCGCAGGCAGCTGTGGCTAGCGCTGGACAACCCTGGCTACTCGGTCTTGAGCCGGGTCTTCAGCATCTTGTCCATCCTGGTGGTGTTGGGGTCCATCACAACCATGTGCCTGAATAGCCTGCCGGACTTCCAAATACCTGACAGCCAGGGCAACCCGGGGGAGGACCCCAGGTTCGAAATTGTGGAGCACTTTGGTATCGCCTGGTTCACATTTGAGCTGGTGGCCAGGTTTGCTGTGGCCCCTGACTTCCTCAAGTTTTTCAAGAATGCCCTAAACCTTATTGACCTCATGTCCATCGTCCCCTTTTACATCACTCTGGTGGTGAATCTGGTGGTGGAGAGCACACCTACCTTGGCCAACTTGGGCCGGGTGGCCCAGGTGCTGAGGCTGATGCGGATTTTCCGCATCTTAAAGCTGGCTAGACACTCCACTGGCCTCCGCTCCCTGGGGGCCACCCTGAAATACAGCTACAAAGAAGTAGGGCTGCTTTTGCTCTATCTCTCTGTGGGGATTTCCATCTTCTCCGTTGTGGCCTACACCATTGAAAAGGAGGAGAACGAGGGCCTGGCCACCATCCCCGCTTGCTGGTGGTGGGCCACCGTCAGTATGACCACTGTGGGATATGGGGATGTGGTCCCAGGAACTACGGCAGGGAAGCTGACCGCCTCTGCCTGCATCCTGGCCGGTATCCTGGTGGTGGTACTGCCCATCACCTTGATCTTCAATAAGTTCTCCCACTTTTACCGGCGCCAAAAGCAACTGGAGAGTGCCATGCGCAGCTGTGACTTTGGAGATGGAATGAAAGAAGTCCCTTCCGTCAATTTAAGGGACTACTATGCCCATAAAGTTAAATCCCTCATGGCAAGCCTGACAAACATGAGCAGGAGCTCACCAAGTGAATTAAGTTTAAATGATTCCCTACATTAGCTGAGAGGCCTCGTCATCCTCACACCCATGTTGCTGAGTGGCCTCTTGGGCCTCTGGCACAGTTCAGGCGCCTTAGGGTTATGGCCTAAGGAGTAGGTCCAGCCCCACAGGGGAGAGCTGCATGGGATATGCACCCCAGGTTGCTTTCACAGCCTTTAGAATCATTTTTAGAGGGTGTTGCGTCAGAGACACCATGCCTTTGCACCCTTCCATGAAATGACACTCACTGGTCTTTGCTTCGTGGGCATACAATGTTCACCTTTCTGCCAGATGAGTACCACCCAGAATGCTAATTTTTTCTGTTTATCGTGTGCTCTCTTCTAGTGCACGTGGCCCAGTACTGTGAGTTGTCTGTGCTCTCGTCTCTGAGGTTGTCGTGTGAGTCTTGTACCAAAAGCCCCCACAAGTCTGTCCAGTGGGAACACATCTGTGGGGGCGGCAAGCCTGTGATGAGATTTTGCTCAGTCATGTGAAAACAAAATCTCAGTTCTTTATCCATTGCTTTCGTTTAGTGTTGTGACCAAAACAAAGAATCTGAAGTTAAGCACACAGGACCAATGCAAGGCCACGAGTAGAATAATCTGTAGCAATGTGACTTGCGTGGGTACCCCGGTCACCTTTAGAATGATGTACACTAATGTTAATCTCGTAAATGTGGCCTTTAGAGAATGTTACTCAGTTAAACGTGTAGTGGTGATTGATTTTTTTTCCCCCCCAAGAAGAGAAGCATTAGGGACAGGGCTTCAGCTACACTGTAGGCCGAATCATGGGATACCTGAAGACCTTTCAAAGCCAGGCCTTCATCTTTCCTAGGGTGGCCATAAAGACATTTATTTCTGGCTGAGGTTCCTGGGCTAGGCCGTTTGACAAAATTTTGCTGTGTCTTAGATATAAGCATGTTTTGGCAATATTTATTTTTTAAGATGTTTAGAAGTAAGGTCGTGTTGTCTTTCTTACTGTTGTTATTATCTCCCTGAGGCAAACATTATTGGGTTGCTAACAAGGGCAGTAGCTTAGAAACTTTGTTGCCTGCTCTGGAAGCTCATAAAATGAGAGCCCCTTTCTTTCCGAGCAGAATTTACCTGGATCATTTTGCTTCTAGGATACAGTATGTTATATATGATGCTCTAATTGCCCTGGAGTTCCTGGTATGACATGGAAACCCTGCAGCGTGGAAGTGTGTACTCAAAATATAGACATGCATGAGTGAAGTTCTGTGTGGCTTACCCAGGACGGAAATACTGTAGTGCTTACTTCCATTTTCAATGACCTTTTGTTGGGAGAGGGTGGGTAGAGGCCAGGAGCAAGGAAAGAGTTGTAAAACAAAACATTGTTACTTCATAAAATGTCATCAATTGCAAACTTCTTGAAAAGCTTACTGCTCCTTAAAAGACCTTTAAATTTTTAAATTTTTAAACTTGGGTTGAAAGTTGAGAACGCTTTCCTTCTCCACAATGCCCTCTCTCCTCTTCTTCAGTCAAACTAGCACACAACATGGTGAAGGGAACCTGGGCCCCTTTGTAACATAGTTCTCCAGGTAATCAGGTGGTCCGTCAGTTGGCTTCCATTATTGTTTGGTCTTTGGAAAGGCTGCTGAATCCAGGGGTCTAAGTGAGGAGTTAGGCAGGCTTTTTATCCAAGATTTGGGCCTTCTCTACAGAGGTCCATTTTGTATGTGAGCTGGCTGAAGAAAATACATACCTCAGGGTCTTGTCAGAAGGCTTTGTTACTTATAGTTGCCATGGCTTCTACAGAGTGGGCAAATGGTTGAATGAACGCAGTAGTCCCTTAGACCCTTGAGTCTCCAGTTCAAATTCTTCCATGAGACTGGAGCCTCATGGGGGGCATGGAGGTGGCCACCTCCCAGTGCCTGGTGGTCTACCGTCCATGTCTCTTTGTAGAAGCGTCAGGAAAGGTGAGATGACTTGGGGGCAACTGGCCACCAGTCAAAAGAGCACGGTTGTTTTTTAGAATTTGCACATGGTGCACATGGAGCACTAGGTTGGGCTCATGCTTCTAGCACTGGATGGCAGAGAATTTATGAGATCATCCCTGGCTGCACTGCGGGCAGGTGAGGGTACAAACTTTCGGGGACTGTTCAGTTTGGCAAGGATCGGGGTGCTCGGGTCACCGAGCACGGTATCCATGGTCACTGGCCATAAAGCTTGTGATAAGTTGAAACAAAGGCAGGAGGCAGAATAACTTGGTCACTCTCATGAGTATTTTTCTCAACAGGCAGGTTTTATCACCAAAAAAGAGATACCCCCCAGTGGTTACTCTTCACCAATGCGAAAGCTAGAAAACTTGACTTTCCATTTTAGTAATGACTTGCATTTATTTGGTGCCTTTCATTGGGGGAATCCCAAAGTGCTTTAGAGACTGTCTTTTTAACATCTCTTGTACATATTTATACACTTGTATAAAATATCACTGTGCCCATCCTGGAATTTTAGTCACTTCTGAGAGTGAGAATGTCCTAATAGCATTGACTTCTCCAAGTGGTGGTTTCAGATCAGAGGGAGAGAGAACAAACCAGCTGGCTTGAACCCTGGAGCTAATTCCCACAAAGGATGGTGCCTGGATGTGGCCTAGGGAGAAATAACCTTCCTTTCCTCCAAGTACCACCACGGTATGGAGTATAAGTGCTCTCCATTGGGCTCCGTCTAGGTAACATCTTATGTGGCAGTTTCTTCTGGTCTCTGAAACTAGTCAGGGAGGATCAGGTTAATTTTATGCTCTGTTTCTGGAGTTAAGGATACAACTATGAGGTGGCATCTTTGGCCACCAGGCTGTCAGACTGACCCATAAACCTCCTTTAGGGGGACACAATAGAAGCTTCAGATCACTTGTTTCCAGCTGTGGCTTAAGAGCAACTTACTCCCAGCATTTGAAAGTTGTTATTTTCAATGCCACTGGGACACATGTATGGACCAGGCCCTTCTGACAACACATGTGATGAGCATTTCAAAAGTGCCGGTTGGAAGTGACACTGTGTCTTTATTGCATGATATTGGTTATAGATTTGTGTTGTAAGCCGAACGCCCTCATTTCCTGGGTTTGCTCCTGAGGAGGGGCATGTTGTAATGCCGAGCTGATTTGTAGCTCCTAAGGTAGTAATTGGTATTTAACATTGGGATCTGTTATTTCTACTTCTCTTAGTACTCAAATAATTGAACTACCTGCTAATTCTTGCCTCATTTCAAAGAAAATGATTTGTTCTGCACTTTGGGATAGCAGTGATCTGTACAGGCTGTGTGTTATCTACTTGAAGGCTTAACTGGTATTTCTTGTATGTTTTAGCAGCATGACTTGTTACAGAGTTGTAATTTTCAAAATTGAGAACACTGTATTTGAGATGTCAGTTTTAATGCTCATTAACACACTACTGTGCACGCATGGACATGGGCCCTGCTGAACCATTATGTCTGGTGGCTGCACGTTAGTCTCCATGGCTCGACTCGGGAATGAGGGGGAACGCTGACGCACTCAGGACTCCAGCCTCGAAGATTAAATAGAAAAAGATTATTGATGCTTCCTTAAGGCACTTCAATTACGTATGGAGTGGCAAATACAAGAAGGGTGTGTGGCACCAGGGACCGGAGATCTTGGGAAAGGCTGGGCTTTTTGAGTGTTTGTTGGGAAGGAAGAGCTGTTGTTTATTCTTTGCAGGCATACAGAGGTGGCCCCCTTTCCACCAGGATCTAGAGCCTCCAGCCTGCTTTGTAGAAAGGATGGTCATGTATTCTTGGAACCGTCATGAAACAGACAGCCCCTTTCCCCTTCCTCTCTGTCTTGCTCAGCACCACTGATGGGCCCGCCATTGCCAACCCCACCCCACACTCCCAGGTGCCATTGTCCCCGCTGTTTGTGGGACCTCCCTGACCATAACTTGGGTCCGGGGTCTGCTGAGTGCAGTGGCTGTTTTGGTGTGAATATTGCTGGGCGATACATGGAACCGGCCCTCAGCACCTCCTTAACCTGGTAGGGCCTTAGACCATGAGCTATTGCAAAGGCCACAGTATGTCTGTAGGAAGGTCACTGAGCTCTACTTTCAGTTTTGCCTGCAATTCTGTGATCTCGCACACATCACTGGCCTTTCTGAGCCTCACACCCCCCTGCTGTAAAGCAAGAGGGTTGGATTAGATCATCCTTAAAGCCCTGGTCAGTTTTCCGTCTCGATGCAAAAACAGAATTTCTGCAGGCCCTTCTACGTTCACAGTATAGCAGTGAGCAGGTCCTGATAACCTTAAGCAGGGCAGAGGGACTGCTCACAAACCTATCTGCTTGCATTTCTCTCTTCAGTAACCAACCACAGTGGACGACGCTCTCAGGAAAAATGACACCAGAGAAATGTTTGGACTGCTGTCTGTGCCAGGTGACTAGAGTTTTAACATAACCGACAAGTGTCTCCTTTGGGCTTGAAACTATTTATACACCTAATCCAAATTCCTGCTATTAAAAAATCACTGGACACAGAGGAAAATCACATTGATCCCATTTGGCTTCAGGACTCTTTGCCACTTATGTGTGTTCCTTTTGTGAAGCAGGATGGACCTCCCACTTTGTTTCCGAGAGGTCCCAGGGCCCCTGAGTGGAGCAAGGGCAGATGGATCACCCCCATCCCACACAATTCTCGCTGAGGAACAGTGGCAGAATGGTGGGCAGCAGGCGGTGTGAACCTGCCTCCGGTCTCCTGGGGGCTGAGGAAGATGCTGAGGGACACACATGCAGTGCTGAGAAGGTGTTCGAGGTCTTGAGAGTTCTTGCATCCCCACCGAGTGGGGCGGAGTGCACGTTCCTCTCCCACCAGGGCAGAAATGGGTGTTCAGGCATATTCTGGGGCCAGGATGCCTTGCATCTTCAAAGGAAACGCAAACACCTCCTCTTGAGGGAAGAACTTAAATACTGTGCTCACATGGTTATTATCTCCTTTTATTTTTAGGAAGACTCTTAACTAGCTTTTCTACCCAAGGATCTTGTCTGGGTTTAACATCCAATTG